GCAGCTCTTGGCCATGGAGCTGGGTGTGGTATCCACACGGCTCACTGCAGCAGATAAAACTGAGCACATGAAGAGGCTGAGACACACGTCGCGCCTCCCCTTTGCCTCAGGTGGGTGTCCTGGGTGGTGTCCTGGCCATGGAGCTGCCAAAGGCTTTACCTTGAGGGAGGCCTGAGTCTGCCCTTGGTTCCTGTGTGGAGGGAGAGGGGAAGGCACATTCCACATCCCCCTGGGGAGCAGGGACTCCCTGCGCCCCTGGGCTACAGGTCGTAGGGAGGTGGCAGGGAGAGGACCACCCCTCCTGAGCACAGATATGACAGTCCTGTGCAGGAATTCCAGCTTTCCTACTGTGCCAGTCCACAGGGGAGACTGGAGCTGTTGGAGGCCATGCACCCTCAGGTCACCTTCTTGTGTTGCAGCCTCCCGCCAGCCCCAGGCAGCCAGGCCCAGGACGCCCTCCCACCCGGCTGGCGCCGCTCCCGAGGATGTGTGGATCACGGCCATGGTTCAGCAGGTCAAGGAGGTGCTGCCCTACGTGCCTCTGGAGGCTATCAGGATGGACCTGGGTGAGCAGTGCCTGGGTGTCCACAGGGCCACCTCCTGGGCCAAGCCTTTGTGATTCCTGAAAGCAGAAGCCTCGTCCCTGCTGCGCTGTGGAGCACACTGACAGCAAGGGGGTGAGTGTCTGCTGGAGCAGCTCCCTCACAGATCCTCTTTATCCCACAGCCCAAACCAACTGTGTGGATACCACCATTGCCAACTTGCTGGAGGGGAGAGTTCCCTACTTCCCTGAAAGCAATGAGGCTGGTACTGACTCGCTCGCCCCGTCTACCTCCCAGGCTGCAGCTGCTGCTGGTGTCCAGGGCTCCGTGGCTGTGCCTTCTTCCAAGGTACCCGTGGTGGTGGTGTTCTCTCCTCTGCTCGGCTTGCAGCCAGAAGGGGTTGGCCTGTGCTCAGGATGAGCCAAGGTGTCAGGGGAATGGAGCATTTGAAACTGGAGACTGAATTGGCACATAGGGTCCTTGCAGAGCCACTGAGGGGGTCTCCTGGCTTTGGTTGGCTGTGTCCTCATGGCTCTGGTGCTTTCTGTTCCAGCCAGCTACAAAGCAGTTTGCAAAGTCCCCTGTGGAGCGGCACCTGTCCTTGCAGGAGCGGAAACGAGCGTTGTACGACTATGCCAGGAGGTGAGAGTCCCCCCCACCTTGGTAGCGTCCCCAGACCCTGTCCCTTGCAGTGCCCAGACCTGCCCCAAGCAGGGGTGAGCCCGTGCTTTGCCTCGTGCCCTCCCCTTTCTCCTCTCTGGCCCAGGACAGCAGGACCAAGGCAGTGAGACATGGCTGAAAGAGAGAGGAGGCAGGGGTTTGTCTGCCTTGCCTCTTCCCAGCACACAGCCCCTTGTCATTCCCAGGAACCACCTGAATCCTGGACTGCCACCGGGCTTCTGGGGCTGAGGACAAGGTGGGACAGAAGCTGTTTGCCAGAAGCAGCTGCTGAGGTGTAGGGCTTAGCAAACAAACCTCATCTGGTTCTTCAGACCTGGCTGACAAAAGTCATTGTGGGATGACAAGTCTCTATCAGTGTGGGTGCTGTGGAACACTCCTCTGGAGGGAGGTTTGCTGTTTGGCAACAGGGACAGGGTAGTTAATTTTCCTGAGTGTAAGTGGAGAATTTCAGAGAAGAGGGAGCGAGTTCGACCTCTGTGCAGGGTTTTGATGAGGCAAATACTGGAACGAGTGCACAGCTCTGGTGCCTGGGTCTTTTTATAGAAAAGATGTAGAAAATCCAGATTGAGTTGGGAGAGTAAGCCAAGTTTGTTAAATTCCTGTAAATCAGATGGCACAGGGTGTGCAGCTCTGGGTGAGGGGACCAGGTTCTGCAGGGCTGCTTCATCTGGCAGAGGAAGCAGAGTAGGAGCTGCTGGGAGGAGCTGTGGGCAGACAGGCTGCACAGAGGTGCCCCTTGCTGAAGGGCTGGCCCAGCCTGACTGGGCAGCTCTCAGTCACCCAGAATTATTTAAACAGGTCTGTTTTGCTGGAAGATCATTTCAGTTTAGAGGAATTTCATCTTGGAATAGTCCTGTGCCATGCAGGATGTCTGTCTTCAGAGCTGTCCCTCAGAGCTTTTAACCTGAACACAGAGATGCCTGAGGGCTCTGGCTGGATCCACTAGGCATGATCTGTTCTACAGCCAAGGAAAGGGGGTGGAAATCCTTTCCTGTGGATACCCCACCTGGCTTTGCTGCTCTTCTGCCTGCCAATCTTTTATGTCCCCTTTCTGAGGCTCTTCTGGTGGTATCATATTGATCTATGTGAAAAGGATCCCAGTGAGATTTGGAAAGGCTGTTGTCTCCTTACCTTCCCTACTGTCTCCAGGGCTGGGAGGCAGCAGCAGCCCCTGCCCCTCGGCTGTCTCAAGATCAGAAAGGGCTCCCAGCTCAAAGCTTGCTGAGTGTGGGATGTTTGCACAGCCCCTGCCCAGGCTGTGCTGCCCATTCACGGAGAGATGGGGCTGCTCTTGGGGAGGATCTTGCTTTTCCAGAGTGGTTAGTTCTCCCGTGCTGGTGTTCAGAGGCAGTGCAGACAGGATGTGGTGTCTGTCAGTTCAGGGCACTGGTCTCAGGGGTGTACTGGTTCTGCAGGGTCACCTCTCTTCTCCCAGTAGAGTCTGTCTTTGGTCTAACACCTTTCCCTGCCTCTGGGGCCTGGAGTGTTGATTGTGCCTTGTGCAAACAGATGTGCAAGGCTTAGCTCTCATGGCTCCTGCTTGGGGACACTTGTAGCTTCTCACCAGCAGCCCCCACCAGTTCTGTCTGCTTTTCACCGTGCCTGGACTGTTTGAACGTTGCCTGGGCAGGGGCCCTGCTGGCAGGGCAGTTTGAGGGAATCATCTTGTTAGGAAACCTTGGCTGGGAAACCTCTGTCCCAAAGGCCAGGCTGTGGCCTGCTCTGGACCTGGAGCTGCTGCTGGTGGTCTCCAGCAGCCCCTCACAGCTGGGTCCAGTCGCTCTACTGGGCACGGTGGGCCGGGCTCCCCTGCCCCTCAGCCTCTGCACGAGCTGGAAATAAAGCTGGGCCTGAGCTGGCCTGGGTGGTCCCAAGGGCTGGGGCAGGGGCAGAAGGGCCCTTCACAGCCTTGTCCTGCGGTCCTGGGCTCCCCAGCGGGGTTTAGGGGAGGAGCGGCCGGGCGGCTGTGCTGATGCGCTCTCTCTCTCTCCTCCCTCCCGCAGGCGGTTCGCCGAGAAGCAGGGTGCAGCG